AGGCTGCCTTTGAGCGGCTGCCAAAGCCTTCCGAAGGAAACCTCTTTGGAGTCGGCTCGAGCTTCGGAGCGGGCGTTTCCGGGACCACCTCTGGCTCGGGTGGAGGAGGAGGTGTCTCCGGGGCGATGTCGCCATGTGGTTGCCCGACAACTGGTTCGGCAGGAGGAGGTGTCTCTGGGGTGGTTCCACCGCCAGTGGCTGGTCCAGCTGCCTTTGAAGCTGTTGTCGAAGCTACGCGGTCCGCCTTTTCCTGCTCCCGTTCCTCAATGTAGTCGAGGAATTGCTCCATGGTCAGGGAGGCCTCGATCTCTTCCTGGGTCCACTCGACTCCAGCCCGTTCCAGTTCATGAAGACGTCGGAGAAGGCGGAGTCGATGTTCACGTCCCAGCGACATCATCGGCGCTAACGCCCCCGGCGCCCTTTCGATGACGATTTTCGGTTGTGCGCCACTGACCCGATGTGGAGCTGGTGTTGAATGGCTCGGAGCCTCGACCGATGCCTCTGGAAGGCGACAACGTGACCAACCTCCGCTCGCTCGACCAAGTACTTCGGGTCCTGGTCTGCGGTTGCCTGGCTGGCGCGGATCGCCTGTGTGTGGGGACGGCTTGGCCACGGTCACGAAGCCGAGCGGTGCGCCTCAAAGTATCCGCGAGGAGCCCCCCGACCACTGGGACACTATTATCAGCCAGGCGTTCCAAGAAAGCGCGCTGTTGGGTGGCCGTTAACCCGCGGAGCTGCTTCTCCAGGTCGGTGCACTCCTTCTCGATGCGGCGGACCTCGGCCTTCTCGTCGTCGTTGAGCTCGTCGTCGAGGTCGGCTTCCGCATCTTGAGCGCCATCTGGTTCAGCTGGCTTTCTCGGGAGCGGTGTCGCCAAGGTCTGCCCATCGGGCGGTCCGCTCCGTCTGCTCCATCACCTCCGGCGGGGTCCACAGCTGATTCGGACCCAAGGGCAGTAGCTGTCCACTTCCCCATGGGATTGCGAAAAAGCTCGGCCTCGTCCCAGGAGTCGGCAGGGGAAGGACAGACCAGAGATCTTCTCCCCATACACATGGCAGCGGAAGACGCCCCGGTCTAGGTGGCCCCTCAAAGAGGTGGAAATGGGCGCCCAAGCTTTTGTTCGCCAGGAAGTCTTTGTATGTAAAGCACGGGGTCCACCTGTGATGCGCTGGGGAGAGGCTGGTTCACCTCCGGCTCTTCCACTGTCAGGGTCAAATCCACCAGGGGCGGAACGCCTTCGTTGGCAGCCCGCAGCCTCGACATTAGCCTCTTCTCCTGGCAAAAGAAAAGGACGTCCTGGGCCACGTCCTTGATGAAGGCCTCCCAGCATGATCCCCACGAGTGGAAGCCACTGAGCACCCGGTCAGACATGAGTAGATACTGAAAGACTGACCAGGGCACCGCCAAACGTGGCGTGGTGGAGTCCACCTTTCGGAGGGTGAACCAGAGCGCCTCGCCATTGGGCACCACGATGGCCAGGGGCTTCACGGTCTTGGCGGTGAGTGGCCTGGCTTTCCTTGGGGCAGCGGGCGGTGGCGCCTTTGGTTCCTCCTCTGGCATCTCGGCCTCGGCAAAGAAGCCCGGGTAGTACGACTGGGGCCTTGAGGCTGTAGAGCCACCTCCAGGAGCTGCTCGGTAGAAGTCATCCTCAAATTGAAACAAAAAAATGCCGATGTTGAAGTACTCCGGGCCAGCAGGGGGGCGGGGGCCCATCGGGAGGATCTCCGCCTGGGGCTGAGTCATCACCGCCAGGGGCCTCGTCGTCAGCTCCTCCTTCTCCTGAGTCACGTGACTCTTCGGGCGGTGACGCCTTGAAAGCCGCTTCGTTCGTCAAAGGGTAGCCGGGGACATCGTCGACGACTTGGCGGCGATCAAGAACGACAAGAGCTTGGGCGGCGCGCGGGTGTCCACTCAGGACCTCCATGGATTGGCCGTTGTTTATGAGTTCGGCCCCCCGCGACCTCCAATTGTCACACTCAGGGCAGCGGTTGAGCTTGATCGTGACTTCAGCGCGGCATTGTGTACAAACCCAGTGTGTAGCCCGCTCCACATGGTGCTCATGCTTCCACCTTCCAGCATTGCACCCGTTACACGCATAGCGGTTGAGACGATTTGCCTCACCGCAGACGCAGCAGAACCACCGAATGGCGTTTTCGAGGATCGCCGCCGGGGGGGCTTTGGGTGGAACTGCGCTCTTCGGGGCGGTGGCGCATTTCGGGGCAGGGGCTGTCCGCCTGTTCTTGCCGAAGAAGGTGCCGCTGGGGTAGCCGAAGGCGGAGGCTGGGGCGGTCTCGCCGAAGAGGAGGACGCCGAAGACGAAAAAGTCGGGGTGAACGAAGAAGGCCTGGATCCCCCCGTCCTCGGTGGAGGTGGAGTGTATGAGTCTTCCCACACTCCTGTATACGAGGGTTGGGGCGGTGGCGCCTTCTTAAGAATTCGCTGTTGGTGCCCTGTACGTCCGAGGGTCGAACCCGCTTGGAGCGAAGCGTCCGCCTGCGAATCCGGGGCGGAGCCAGCCGCACCAACAACAGTAGCCAGTAGCCGTCGCCCCAATATTGCATATTGCGACAGGAATGGCAGTAGTGTAGGGTTCGGCCAAACCTGTGGGGGGTGCTTGCCCAGGGCGTGTCCCCCCCAGCTCTCTTCCTCCGACTCGTACTCCTCGTCCGAGCTGACATTCCAAGCGGATGACGGCTCACCTCCCCACATAGGCGTGCCATACTTGGGCACCGCCCCTCGCGACGTCGAGGAAGGAACAGAGGGAGGGGGCGGAACGCCTGTGGGTCCAGTACCGACCATGTTGTCGTGGAGAACCCGGAGCGTTGGCGTGAGGAGGATCTCCTTGGCGTTGCCGAGGGCCTGAAACTTCACGCTCGCCTCCTCCCTGTTGCCAACCTCCGCCTTATCTGGGTGAAGGCGGATCGCCAACTTCTTGAAGGCCTTCATCACGTCGCTGGGCGGTGCGCCAGGAGAAAGCTGCATGAACTTCCATGCGCTCCCCCACTGCTCCACCCAAGTGCGAAGGTATTGTCGCCCCATTCCAGCTGCCGGTCGCGCCTCCATGGCTGGGCTAGCAAAGAGAGGAAGTGCGGGAGTGGGCGAAGCGAAGTTCGAGCGGATGGCTAAGGGATCCAAAGGGCCAACGAGACGCAAGTCATTCGGCTCCTCTCTCACATACGGCTCAACTACGCTCGCGCTAGCAGACTGACCACCGGCAGCTTCAGATGGGACCTGCTCTTCAACCGGTGGCTCCGCAGCGACTTCTGCATCAGGGGTCTCAGCTGGGGGGTCCTGTGAACCTCGAGCCTGGCTAGGGGCCTCAAACCATTCCCGGATGCCCCCAAACCTTTGCAAAAACGTCGGGGGCTCCACGACACCTCCAGCTGCAATCTGACGACGAAGACGAACCCTTTGCACAAAAGTCAACCCTGATCGCCTCTCGGTCTCTTCGAGCTTTGCTTGGGCGGAGCGCCAGTCCTCATCGTCAGTCTCAAACTCTTCCCTTTCCCAATCATGGGGCTGGGTCTCCTTGGGCCCCCCGCATCGAGTCCCACGGCCCGATGTCAGGGTCGTGGGCCCGGCAGTTTGGCGGGGCTGGAGAACCCGTTGAGACCTCAACATCTGGCTTGCCCGTTCGGGGGCATGAGCCATGTCGGTGTAAAGATAGGCATGGATGGCGTCCGACTTCCAGCCTCCAAACCTCTTGACCACTTCGACATCATCGGTCACAGACAGCATGGCGGTAGCGCCTCCCTTCCGCAGACTGTGAGAAGCCACCAGATGGGCGGGGTAGCCCAACGCGACCGCCGCCACACGTAGCAATTCCGACACCTGCTCCCGAGTAACTCCCACTCCTTGCCAGGCGCAAACGGGTTGGCTGGGGTCTGTCAGCCATGCTGGATTTTGCCGGCAATGCCACTGCAACGCCTTGACTGGGCAGATGTCTTCACCAGTCAGTGCTATGCTGAAGACGCACCTGCCCTCGACCGAACTGGTCCCCCTTTGAGTCTCTAAGCTGGACAGCTAAGGAATCGGCCTCCTGCCAGCTGCAACGTGTTCCTTTTGCGAAGAACTCCAAGTCGCTACCTCGAAGCACTCGTCCGGGGGTTCCTCGGAGATCAGTGCAAGGGAGGTACTCCGAGGCTCTCAGCATGTAGAACCAACCCAGACAGACTGAGGCCCAGAGTGCCGCCTTCTCGGATTCCGGTCGATTTGAGCTGCGGAGGTAGGAGAAGATCCACCCTAGCATGGCGGGGGTGACCGGGACCTTACGGACCGGTGCGCCATCTCATCGTTGCATCCCTGCAAGGCCGCCCACAGCCGGACCCGTCCCACGAGGGGTCAGGATATCCAGCAGCTATGTGGGCGTACCGGATTCCAGAGAGCCTCTGCCGGATTCCTTGGGCGGTGCGCCCCATTGTTTCATGTAGGAATACCACAAACCTAACAAGCCAAGTCTCGTCCAGTTGCTTCTCAGCTCGAGTTTCACCGCAGAGAAAAGCAGGCACCCCGGTTCCACTCATGAAGGTGGACCACTGCTTCCATCCCGCGTTGTAAGACCGACGAGTGGAGTCGGCTAACTTACTTAGCGCAGCATCTTGACCGACCTGATCGAGCCAAGCGACTTGGGGAGTGCTAGGAAGACCACAATCCCGGAAGAAAGCCTCGCGAGCATCTCCAAGCAGCGCGGGTGCCACCAACGCTTTGTCCTCAGGTGTGCGGCTCGCTCCTCCTGCTCGGGTGTCTGGCTCGGTTTGCCAAGCTGAGGGTTCCAACTCCTGAGACACCGGACAATGAGCGGAGATCAGCTGGAGCTGGTTCCGAGAGCATTCGGGGTCTCTCTGCCAAGCAGCCAGCCAGATCTCCATTTGCTGCCAGGCCTGGGTTTCATCGGGGTCGAGGCAATTGCCAGCCTTTCTCAGGCCTTCAACCCAGAGCCCCAGCAACGTGGCCGCGACTTGCCAGCCGGGTTCCCTAGCTAACTCACGAAGGGCGATCTCGCCCCCAACAAGAACCTGCAGGCTCTGCCATTGGGAGGAAGACAAACCCTGTGCCCGAGCAACTTCGCATGGAGTCAAAGGCCGGACTCCTTGATGTGCCTCCTGGTCCCCGGAAGTCTTTGGTCGGTCCGACGAAGGCGCAAGTTGGGCCCGTAACACGGTGCACGATACATTTAGGAGGCAATCCCTTGCCTTTGAGATGCCCACACGGGTGAGGCAGCCACGGATCGCCGGTTGTCACAATGTTCGGCTCTTGGACGAAAGTCCCCGGGAGCATCCGGGCCGCTTCCTCTGCCCCAATCCCTCAAGGAAGGAGCTGTAAAGCGGGAGGGGGGTGACCTTCAGATCGTCCAGAGAGACTGGAGGCTCGGGTTCCCCTCCTGCCAGCACCAAATGACCTGCCGTCTGCGGGCAGAGAGAGCACCAAGGTGGCTGCTCAAGTACGTAGAACAACGGACCCCTGTGAAGAACACTTCTAGCTGCTGGCCTAATGCTTCCCCATCAAGATGCCGGGGGGCGTCCACCAGCAGCCGGCGCCATCTTGCCTCTTCCTTTAGCCGCTTCAGGAGGTAAACCCTTTCGTCTCCTGTTGGGAAAAGGTGAACCAACCATAGGGTTGTGGGCCTGGTTGGTAGGCTCGGAACCGCTTAAGGGCCAGGCCGCAGCTGGTCAGCTCCGGATCCGCGCTGCGATGCAGAACTGGGGGAATCCCCTCGATGAGTAAGCTGCCGGGCGGTCTTCGCCAGGGGGTCCCCCTCCAGTGGCATCACCAGTGAGTGCCGGGAGGCGTCCCTTAGGAAGGTTTCTTAAAAAAAAGGCGAGAGCCATTCACCCAACCCTGTCGTTCCAGCTCCTGGCTGGCTTGCTGGAGATCTTCGCGACTTAACCAATCGGCCAGTTGGTTCCGGTAAGTTCGGATATAGATTGGGTGCACGGTGAACCCCCGCTCGGCCTCCAGACGCTGGACCAGTCGAATCAAGAGCCCGGCTGTTCGATTGCTAGGCCTTCGTTTAAACAGCCAAGACCGCACGTTAGCGTTGTCCGTCACATACAGGACAAGCTCCCCATGCCAGTGGTCGCCCCTCTCGCAGGCCAGCACTACGAACGCCAGCAGCTCCATGATGGAAATAATCTCGAGCTCGTCCTCGGCGTCGGCCATTTTCCGTAAGGTGTCCACATATTGCCCAGTCTCCGAGGCATGGAAAGCTTTCGATTTCCAATCCAGAGCCCCAATCCTGGTCACGGTGGCATCGCCCCCGGTGACGCGCGTTCGGGCGGTCACGCCTGGCAATGCCAACCTCTCGCGGAGTGGGAGAAGCTTCTCAAATGCGGACGAAAAGCTCGTTGTGAGAGGGGATTCCAACTGCAATCGAACAAAGTCGAGCGCATCCCAGAAGTCCTCCCACCGACGAGTTTCTTCACGCTCTGAGGCAGCCTCAACTTGGAGGTACGTGTCCTGCTTCCTGGCTTTGGCAGACTTTCCAGTGCCCTGAAGATTCCCCTTGAGAAGATGATAAAGGGACGGCAAGTGCGGCACTAACTCAGGGCAAACCACGGACCAGTACTGCGCGCAGCCGATCACTTCCTGAAGTAGGCCAAGAGGCAACTGCCTATTCCCACGAGCTAAGGCCGGCTCACTCAGGAGATACTTGGCTTTGATCCTCTTTGGCTCCGGCAGGGTGACCGTCAAGTCGTCAAAGTCCATGTGTAATCCCCATAGCAGTTGCGAAGTGGAATAAGGCTCGCCTTCCTCAGCCATCTTCTCGACATTCACACCTTCTGGGCCCCAAACTAGTTTCATTGTGGCGTCAAGCAAATCGAGGGATTGCTGGATGCGAGTACCTACCATGGGTTCTACCGCCACTCCGTCGTCCATGAGCCACTTGGATTCAAAGGGCACCACGTCATCGAAGGCAGGGTCATTAGGGCGGTGCGCCCCGTGGTGACTTCGAGCGGCTGAGCTCCACGCTACAAACTCGCCGGGGGATCCTACTCATCCAAACGGCATGGCCAGGCTGAGGATAATAAGACCCGCCAGCCTGACCGCAAACTCCGAGACATCCCGCGGGCGAAGAAAGTGCCATTTGAAGGCCCCGGGGACGTCTCTTTTGGCGCACCTTTGAGGGATGCCTGGGTGCCGTGCCCGCCACCAGAGGGCTTGCCTTGCCACTGCATGGTGCCGAGGTTGAGGTGCTGGGGGGTGCTTGTATTTGGACCCGGCCTCGTTCTGACGGCGCATATCGTTGAAGGGCCTGTCCTGTGACGATATGGTGCGGTCGGGGTTCTGCTTTGGTACACGGCCAAGGGGACTCTCCGCAACCTGAGCCTTTCTGAGCAACTCCTCCACCGCTGGGTCATTTGGGTCCACGAACAGAGCAGCGCCATACGCCGCGTCCTTCCACGCCTTTTTGGCGGTTTTGAAATAGTCTCCTAGCCTCTGTACCCTCGCGTTGTTGACTGCTTTAACAGCCTCTTCGATGCCTCCTGCTTCCTTGAGCAGAGCCGCTCCCAGGCCTCCAGCCTTAATTGCGGCTTCGGGCGAGAACGGTTCCTGGCAGAAAGCTAAGTAGCCAGCTGCTTTTTCGCACACTACCCCCTGCCTTGTTCTCCTGGTTTTGGGAGCGACCTGCCCCCTCCCAAAAAGTCGAGGGTGGTATCACCTGAAGCCATTCCACCAAGTGTTGGCTTCCCTGCAAAGATCCCTCTGGAAACTCCTTTGCTACAGCGCGGAGCCCTGTGCCGTAGGGACGCAGGGCGGAGCTCACCAACCAGGCGGCGGCTGGCCGCCCCCCTAGCATCGGAAAAGTGACGTGTCCGGCTTCCGGATCAACTCGGCCAACCCTACTAAGCCAGCCCTTCCTAAGCTGCGGTTGATGGAGTGCTACGCACACCACATACGGACTGCCTACAGCTATGGCTCCGGCAATGAAGGAATCCGTCACACCTCCCCAGCATGCTAAGTCCGGGGCCCCTGACAAGTCCAAGAAACCCAGTGTGCGGGACGATGCTGTCACCTGGTGGAGCTCCGAGGTCTGGCTGATCACCTCCAGCGTGACGGGGACAGACGTCTGCTGTTTCCATTCTTCCAAGGTATCAGCACAGGTCCAAACGTGGACCTGGTCAAAACCTTGAAAGGGCGGTACGCCTGAAGGAGCGGGGCGAGCTGGATCCCCAAGATCCACGGCCTCTCTTTCCCCCGCCTTACAAAAGGGGTTTGGGGTCGTCTGCATCGGTAGCAGGGGTGAGGCCTGGAGGGCACGATTTCACCATCATTCTGTTGCTCCTCCAGGAAGACCCCCCGCCCTTGTGCGCTGAGATCGCGAACGATCCGTGCGGCACCGTCGGCAGCTTGCTCGAGGCTCGAGCGCTTTGAGGTCCTTTACCGGAGCTTCAACCGCCCGCATGTGACCGCGATGGATAATCACCATTCCGTGCTGAGTGACAGCACCTTCTCCACGGACAAGATCAAGCTCTAGAACCCCTCGGTGAGAGAGCCGAACTACATAAAGAAGCTTGCCCTTCATAAACTGGGGCCCAAACAGTTGAAGAACCCTAAAGTCTTTTTCGTGGTGGGCATAAATGCAATCATGGGCGTTGTGCCTATAAAAGCCTCTGCAGATGGGATGTGGGTCGCGGCCTCGCCAAGGTACTCAAAGGCGGCGCTCCCCGCTTGCCAAAGCTCCAGCCGGAGCCGCAAGGCTTGTTCTTGGGCGGTATCGCCACTGTAGAAAGCCCTTGCCACGTGCAAGCACAAGCATTGCCGAGCCTCTTCCGGCAGGGGATCAGCACCGGAACTGAGGAGCTGACTC